ACATTAACACCTGATGTCATGGCCTGGTACCAGATTTAAGAAAATCAAACCACCTAATGTTTCATGATCACCTGTACAAATTAAATTGATTCCCACCAATACAGAAATAAAAAAAAACTACAATAAGGATTTCTCTTAAGATACTTTTAGTATAAAACTAAATTAAGAAAAAAGGTTATCACATGTATATGGTACTTCATTATTATTAATCTCACAGTGTGTGAAGTTTATTCATGATTTCAGGTGAACAGGTCTTCCAACATGTAACACAAAGATTTCTTATTGTGGTAAGACTTTCTCTCAGATTCAGACCTCTGCCTTTGACAAAAAACTTGTGATGTACAACTCATTTAAAGATGCCTAATGAAGTGAAATTTTCTTATGTACTAGATAGAGATGATTGGTTAAAAGTGTTATATCAAAATGAAAATTTATGTTTGTCACAAAATACCATCAGGATTGTCTCACTACAATGTTTCATATGGGTTTGATTTCTAAATTTTTGTATAAAATCATGTAACTTTTGTCTGTTAGCATTCTATAAGAATTTAAATAATAGAATATCCATGGTCGTTAGAAAATAGCAATTTTCTAGCGGGTGGGGGGGAGAGGCTAAAAACAGGAAGATCACTACAAGTCTGAGCTACATAGTGATACCCTGTACCAAATACATAAAATTTCATGTCTAAGTTGTTTGATACTCCGATAGACAGTAATATTAAGCTTACTGCTTGTGTTACAGAGTAATGTTACTAATCTTCTCATCTGGATATTTAACAACTAAAGTTTGGAGACAAAATATTAGAGAGATAGATGGGCTAAAAGGATAACCAATATTTTGGCCCTAGCCCTTTAAGTTCAATGAGGGCTCAGGACAGAAGAGAACCTCTGCTGTGACAACCTATAACTCAGTTAAGTCCCTAATTTTCTCATCAAGTAGATTATGGGGCCACAGAAGAAAGTGATTGATGATCTAAAGTGTGTCTAAAGAGAGTCACCTAGAGAGAAAAAAATCTTCAGGCTTTCACAGAAAGCATCTTAGTTAAGCAATGGTCATGACTCATTCAGATGGCTAACACTGACAGATCTAAGAGGTGCTATGTTTGGTTCCAAGTTGAATAGTGAGATTAACTGACCTTTTCAGATAGCAAAAGTTAAATTTGTGTTTATACAGGTCTTGCTTTAATTTGGTCTTAACCATCCAGCAGAAAAGTGTAACCAAAAGATGTGAAAAGTAATGCCACATTAATATTCTAAGTTATAAAAGGCTGAAGTCACTAACAACTTCTGACAATTTCCAGCTGCACTGATAACTCACTACTATTTGGACTGTTGGACTATATAGGGTTGCATTGCTAAATTCAAGTACCCAAAATCTTTAGACTAGAATCAAATATGAAAAGGTCTTCTAAAGAGTTCTCCAAACAGAGCTTCTCCAACTGCAATGGAACACCCATCACTCACATAACAAAACAAAAAAAAGGGGGAGAGGGTTGGGATATACTGGGAGCCACAGAAGCTGGAAAATTGGCTAAATGTGTGAAAGTGGGTCTAGGCCTCAGTGCCTAAAGCAGTCAAGCCACCTCAGTCCTGAGATAAACATCCTGACTGGTTAATGTGGTTTATTAGTTACAAGAAAACCTTGC